TTTCATAATTGTTATTATGATGGATAAAATTAATAAATCAAAAATTAAATTTTTTTAAAAAAAAAGAAAAAAAAAGTTTTAGAATGATTTAAAAAAAAAGAATTTAAATATGAAAAACAAACAAACAATCATGTATTAATTTTAATGATGAAACAAGGCTATAATTAGATATTTGATTTTTTTATAAATTTCTCCTGAAAATCTTGTAAAAATGCCTAACAAAAATAAATTAATTATTATTTAATACAAATTCGGAATTTTCCTTGACTATTACTATACTATACTAATACATAAATATTAATATTAATTATTTATATTCGTTAAACAACATGGACAAAAATCATAACAATATATAACGTATTAGCAACCGTTTCATATCCTCCTTTACCATGGCCACGACCACCACTATAATATTAAGAATGTGACGGTTGGATGTTGTTTTGATATTTTTTTAAAGATCTATCTAATATTTAAATATATATTGTAAAAATTGCAAACTTCTGGTTTGATACATGTCAGATAAGATTGTTACAACATGTATAAACATGATTATTTTGCATTGTTTCTTTTACTGTCCATTACATCCTTGCTACGATTTAAGACCATATTGAGAATCTTTACAATACTTTGTAATAATAACTCGAAGCCAACGTGTTTTAAAGATAAAAAAAACCGAAAAATTCAAGTGGTGTTGGATAGGTGCTGTCCGTTATCACACAGCCAAATGTTCCTTCTTGTGTTTTCCTTTATTTAGAACTTGGTAGTAAAAAGAAACAGAAACGGAATACAATGGCGAGTTTCTTATGTTGAGCCAAAGCTAATCAAGCCAGTTACTAAAACAGGCCATCATTACACAATGACTTGTTTCTGACAGTATTCTGCTAAACATGTAAAAGGTGGCTAGAACTAGCGGGTATGTTTATACGAGAAAAATTTATTATTTTAACCGACTGATCTGACTTCAGGTAAACATGTATATGATATTTTTTAGTGTTGGAATGTTATATACGATCTAAAAGGTAAACCGATATAATTTTATTATACTGCTACATCGAAAAAGAAAGAGACGTAAAGAATATTAATACTAATACATAAATTTTTTTTCATTAATTTTTTAATCGAATAATAACATGGCAATTATTGATAAGTTTTTATAGAGAAAATTAACATTTTACTTCGAAGTTTAACTAGTAAATTATTATCATTGAACAAACCTGCTTCTACGATAAAGTTCATAATAATGATGAGTCATGGTAATTGAATAGATTTATTTATGTATGCGTTTATTTATATATATATAAATAAATATATATGTATGTATGTATATATATAAATTTCTTCTATTTAATAAATTTATTTCTTTTTGTAAAGAGAGTTTGAGAAAATAGCAAAGTTGGTATTTATAATTTTTGGAATTTTATATTCCTTGCAATACATCCCCGTGACTTATGCCGATCTACACTTAAAAAAGCGTGTTAATATTAATTAAATATTAAAAGAATCTCGAATGGCTTGGGACTAACCTCAAACAAAAAAAAATTCGGATTGTTCTCCTTTTGTCTTTAGAGTTATAATTTTTGATAAATTATCATTTACGAAAATCCATTAAACATTCTACTGTAGTGATCTGAAGAATAACCATTACAAGAATTTTAATTATATTTGTTTTTGCAAATCAAAATACGATTTTTATTGGTATTTCATTATCATCAGGGCTGGCTACTTAACCCTAAATAAGCATTTGGCTATACTGACTAACTATTTAGTAATTATGTTATGACAATTATTACCAAATTAGGATTTTAGACCCTCTTGCACAACCAGCCCTGATTATCACCCAAGTGCAAAATCCAAGTGCATGAGTTTCAACTCCAAGTAGCTTGGGTGTAAACCTGAGTATTCACTTGAGCATAAACTCAAGCACTTTAAGAAACATTGATACCAAAAAAGAATTTTTTCTTTTGTCCTTATCTATTTGACACAGTAATCAAGTGGGAGATGGTTTTATAAAAATAATCTAATAAATGAAATATAATTAAAGTTGGTGTCTGTAACTGTTTTCACATTTTCTGCAACTGTAGGTTCTAAAGCTCGAGTTGCAACCTTTTTTGCAACCTCTGCAAGCCCTGAAACTGTCTGCAACCTCTGCAACTACCTGAAACTGTCTGCAACTATAATTATGATGACTTAGTATCAAAAATGGAGTCACATAACTGCAAAAATGAGATTTATTTGTTTTTAAATAAAATCATTATTACTACTATTGTTGACTATTTTTAAATAAAAAAAACATTCTTATTATCTTTTATTATTACTATTGCCATTATTTTTACCATTAACTAACTATTTTTTAAATAAAAACATTATCAACATTAATTGATAAAACTGATTATTCATTTTTACACTCCCCTACAAAAAATATCCGACCACTTGTGCTGTGTAACGTCAAATGAAAAAAGTACTTGCTAAATAAAGTA